CCCCCCCCCCACACCCCCTTTCCCCCTCCAGAGAGCCGCTTTACGAGCCTCTCCAATTACCCAGTGCAGTGGCCGAGCTGCTGGAGTGACCGCACACATGTCACAACACGACCGGGGGGTTAGCCGCCATGCGTGTCCATTAACTTTTCCCACACTCCGCGTGCATGCAGGGAGCAAAAAGAACGGGAAAAAAAGCCCCTCTGCTTCCTCCTTGGCTCTGTAAGTGCTACCATATGGTCCACTCTCGGCCTCTCTCTCTCTCTCTCTCAGAGTCCTTCTCTCTCATCCTGCCTCTCTCTCCTGGCCGATCACTACGGCTGTCTTTGGTTGCAGCCCAGACAAGCGAGAGCTTTATGATTTAAGCCCAGGGCTTGCTGTACCAAGCCCTGGACTCATTTTGAAGCCAAACTCCTCTCCCTCCCCTGCTCTGCTCCCCCCCACCCGCCTATTCCCCACCCCCCCAGTTGCAGGGGAAGGCTGTTTTCTGGCAGGAAATGAATAGCTCCCAGATGAGCGCAGGAACCTGAGAGGTCGTGAGAAAGAGGCGAACCCCCCTCCGCAGGCCCGGCTTGCTGCCAGCCGCCGGGGGAATGTGGGAGAGCGCCTCTCTGACACACGCATCAACCCCTCTGCCCTCCACCACACCGCCCGACTGACTGCCTGCCTGCCTCGACGCTGGGCCCCGAGCCTGGAAATAGACTGACAGACGGGGCAGCCGCCACCAAGCCAGGCAGCAGGGATCGTCAGCCAGCCAGGCAGGGAAAGGGAAAACTGTAGGAGGGGAGAAAGAAGTGTTGGATTTGTGTGGGCGGAAGCGGATCAGTGCGTTCGTGCAGCCTGAATCCTGACCCGACGGAAACGGAGAGCTTTAACGCGAGTTTACACAGTTCGGGCTCGTTCATGACCCATTTACACAGATTTTGTACGCAGACAGATACACATGTGCACACTTGCTCACATGCTTTCCTCCCCCCCTTGTCCCAGAGGCATACATTAACTCTCAGACAGGTGCTCCTTGTCAAGAGCAGAGGGTTTTCCCTTTGGTTCTCTGTGTGCTGAACTAACATTTATTCCACTTGAGGTTGACACTGTTATGGTTGGACATGGTCAGAGGTTTAACCGCAGCTGTCCAGGCGTATTTTAAGATCTTTTTTTAATCATTGTCTTGCATCAGTGTGACATGCTGAGATTATCTAATTACCAAGTGAAGGTCAGCCATTTGAATTGCCAAGTGCAACAAATGCAGAGAACCATTTGTATTGGTTCAGGACTATAAGAACTTATGTTGGGGGGAATTTTCTGATGCATTTGGCTTTTGACTTGAAACAGCCGCACGCACATCTGATGCCTCGTCATCAGTTTTAACCCAGTACCGGCAATAAGTTGTCACAGGAGTTATACAAAGACCTTTTCTAAAATTATATCACATAAAAATATCCAGCTATAATGTATTTTATATGGATGCAGATTCAGATATAGACACTAAATGTTCAAGATATAAACAAGTCAGACTCACTGCTTTCATTAATTTTTCACACTGGACATGCAAAGACACAATCTCCGCCCCTAAAATGACATGTCGTGATTTCATATATGGTTATTAATAAACATAATAGGCCTGCCAGCTATTCGCCACTCACCCTTAAAGCTGTAATACTCATGGAAAGCGACAGGGTGCCTGAAACGGTGTGTGGTTGCCCTCTAAAGGGCGTCCAGGTCTCAGGGAGTGAAGTTCATTCCCCTGTTATTAGTGCCTAATCAGCCCAACACGGTTCAGGTGGTGGTTGTCTCCACATTACAAATTAAGAAAACATTACAGAAAGAACGAGGCGACCGGCGTGTGACGTCACTTATATGCGACACAACAATAAAGGATGTCAAAGCAACTATAAAACGACTTAAACCTTGATTTTGGTTGTTGTAATGGGATTTAAAACGTTTCTAACTACAAAAATGATTAAATGGGACGTTTTTTGTTGCCCATTTAGAAAGTGGGCGGGGTTTACCTGACGGAGTCCCTATCTAATCACATGAGACCCTGGCCAATCAGCGCACGGCAGCCTAACTAACCCTACTGAGCCTTGGTGAGATCCAAGTGGGGGCCCAGCTCCTTCAGGAAATAAAATAAAAACACCGTGTGGAGCCGTGCCGTGCTGGACACTAATGGAAAAGCGCCAAAAGTTACTCAGTCGTCTTTCAACAGCACACCTAGTCATTCAGTACCCATCTGACACCACACTGTGCACCCCCTCCATGCATCCATTCCCAGAGTCCCTGTCGTTTTTTTCCCATACTGGTCTTTGTTTCTCTCTAACTGAGTTTGTGCTGGGCTCCTATGGTAACCTGTGGTCCCAGAAAACAGGACAAGCTGTGTGCCCACTTTCCTTGGCTCACCCTGCATGACAACAAAACACCCACCAGAGGCTCCCACCACCAGCCCATTCAAATGTCAGCCACCTCGTTTGAAGTCGCAGACCACTATGTAAATCCATGCTGTTTCTCACCAGCCCAGCCACTCACACGCACTCCAAAGCAAGAACTTCAGCAAAGGTGGTCCTGTGATACTGGATGGTTGTTTCTTTTATAGTCTCCAGGCTTTAGAAGTCTCTTTTTCATCCATTTTTTTTGTCCATTCTCCCTGTTTTCGTTCGTAAACACGTTTTTCCCCCCATTGTTTTAGGCGGATGGCTGAAGGACATGGTGACTTGAGTGGAGCAGGACATGGCAACCATACGCAGCTGTCAATTACAAAACTGGCACATCCTTCAGCTTTCGGCGGTGACAATGATGACCCCATCACACTGCGTCTTTGTATGACCTGTCCTCAAGCTATTCGCGAACCCAAGGCCAATTGAGTGGGAGGGTCCCCCCCCCACCCCTCCCCAACCCCTCAGAGACATCACAACAAACAAATATAAGAGGCAAACAAGTTCCCACCAAAGCAGAGTCCAAACAACTGCCAACGGTGACAGTTTGGTTTTGATTAGGCACAAAGAGATTCTTCATGAAGGACTTCTCGCTCTTTCATCCCATGTGGCTGAGCTTCCCAACCTTGAAGTGAGGCCCTCAAGAGTTTTTTTCCATTTAATAAAACAAACAGAATCATCTTATTTAGTAAAAACATTTTATATTTAAAAAAAAAACATACACGTACATACACACACACACACACACACACACACACATACTGGTTTTTATGTGTCATGGGGATCAACTTTGTAATCATCACTTGCGGGGACCACCCTTTCTACAAGCCTTAGAGGTCTAAAAAAAATCATGCACGACAACTAAAGCTTGGTTAGCTTATACACGCCTTCAAACATCTGAAAAGGTGAAGTAATATTTTCATCATGCTATTTGGGGACTTCCGGTAAATCGAGTGGACATGCCTGATGAGGACCTCATTAACAAAAATTTGCATATTTCACACAGATTCAAATGTGATAAGTGGGGACATGACATTTGACATGCAGCTATCTATACCAAATGAATGTAAAGCTTC